CTTTTTGCGCGTTTCTTTTAAGCTCATTGGTGTAAACATCTTTGCTAATGCTAACCCAGTAGCATTTTCATTGAAGGAGACTTTGGAATAACTTCGTCAACGCTGTAAACGTGGTCATGTGTGGTCACCGGGCTTTGGCTCGTCACAGAGGACTAGCCGGTGCCGGATTCATGTTTTTTGTTTTGTTTTTTACAGTTCTTGCCCTTGTTCACTTTGACGTTCCTGAAAAAATACCGAGCGGACATAAATGCCGTGTACAGAATCCTCCACACCATACCGAGCCATCTCAATGAAATCGCACTTATGCGGAGAGGAACCCTGGCGACGGCCACGTTTCTATGTCTACTTGGCTTCGAGGTTCTTCCTGGACTTCAGATTATTTTCGTTGGAGGACTCCAGTACTACTGATGCGTTAACTGGTGAAACATCCCCGTGCTGAATGACTCACCGGTATCGTTCACGCTGCTGCTAGAATGCATGCAGGACGGGCAATATAGAAATCAATTTTACGTTCTCACTTGTAGGATTCACTCCCAAAAATTCGCGTCTGTTGACAACCAACTTGAAAACGTGCAGTCGATTTAACTTTTACGGGTAAAATATACGCCAATATCAGAGGAGGGGGGGAGGGGGGGGATGAAACAAGCGAGAATGTAAAATTCTTATCCTTTCCACGCTTATCCTTTTCGTGCCGAAAAGGATAAGCGTGGAAAGGATAAGAATTTTACGTTCTACCCACATCGATTCAGGACGGTACGTTGTGCAAGAAATATAAGGGTGAAAGAATATCCAAGGGCCCATAAAAGTGTTTATTACATGAAACAGTAAAATTGAGTGAGGCACAACGGCACACACAAGTGTGCGCAGCCAAACATTAAAAAGTTATATATAGTACAGTCGGCAGCAGCAACAAGAACAACGAGTTTGCAGGACATGGGAGCGCTGCCGCTCTCCAAGATCCACGCTTTGAGCATGCGTGTCATGGCGTACTCCCAGTCATGTTGGATTACACTCCAGAACCCAGATAACGCATCGCGGCTCCTCGCGCCGGTCCCCGTTATCTCGTGCGTGCCACACGGAAGCAAACGAAAAATGGGCGACGCGTGGACCTTGCAATGGAAGCCGCACGCCGCAATAAATACTCATTTTGACTGGCGCTGTCGTGTACCGCAGCCTATTACTGCCGACTTTACAAAGATTTTTCAGAATAGCTGCACGCGAGCAAACAATAAAGTGCAGACTAGAGCTTGCCGGACGCCACGCTAAGGTACTAAGGATGCGCTCCGATGGGAAAGAGCAGGCCGGGCACACATTTCCTGGAACAACCGACGAGACAGCACAAGTGGTGAACTCCCTCGCAGTCCGCAGCAACCTGGCACTGATCATGTTCCTTCTCAAAAGGAGCGAAGCAGGGTGCGTCGATCCTAGGGCAGGACAGGACTGGAAAGGACAGGAGCGAGAGAATTTAACAATTACGAACAGTGCCTTATGCAACGCGCAAACAGTCGCGAATAAAACAAGATATTGTTTTGCAAGAAAAACGAGCTGGCATGTACGGCGCACACATACCAAAGAAAGAATGCGAAAAAGATAAACTACGCACCCGTCTCGGCTTCGCAGCTGTGTTGACTGAAACACTTCTGGACACAATAGTGAAGCTTCCGCTGACATTTGCCGCAGGACCCTTGTTTCAGGTGGTCGTCCTCGTCAACGACTAGTTCTTCAATAGTCTTGTGAGGGACGAACGGACCATAGTCATCTGCGTCGTGCTGGATTATGGTCCTGATGTATCCGTCCGTTACCACGTGCGGAGGAACAACAGGATGTGGAATCATTGCTGGCTCTTCCGGCACCACTACAGGCTGTGGGGGTACCTGCGGTTCTGTCGGTACCACAGGCAAGGGTGGTTGTGTTGGCTGCTGCGAGGGGACCGCTGGTACCACAGGCTGAGCCGGTTCCGTTGGCCTGAAAAATGGGGCGGTTTCGGTTGGTACGGGCTGTGGCGGGGTCGGCAGTCGCTGTGGAGGCAGTGATGGCACCGGTACTGCCGGCATAGTTGGTACCACCACTGGAGGCCGGAGTGGCGCTGGGTGTCCCAAACTTGCGCCAGTGCTGATCATAAATGTCGGCTCTGGTTGACCAGTGACCGTGAGCTTGGATTCAGGAAACCTAATCGTGGACGTTGCAGGCTGCGATACCGGTAATGTCTGCTCAGCTGGCACCATCGGTTGAGTCTGGTGTGGCGCTGAATGTTCCAAATTCTCGCCGAGGGCCATACCCGAGGTTGACGTTGCCACTGGTTGATGAGTAGTCTTAAGGTCGGATTCGGGGGACGCGGTCATTGTCGTGGTAGGAATCGTAGAAGCACCTAGAGTTGTGATGTTCGTTGCACCGGAAGACGCACTTGCGGTATTTGTAGTTGGGCCCAACGAAGGTCGAAAGGCGACGTTCACGAGCATTGAACTAGTGGCCATTGTTGAAGTCTCCTGTGTGAGGCCGATTGCAGACATCGTACTGTTTCCCAGAACAGCTCGTCGCATTGGTGACCCCGCAAGTCCTGACAGGCCTTCCTCAGCTGCTTTCGTCGTCGGAGAGTGCGAAGTAACGGCGGTGTCAAGCGCTGACGACGTCGCGGTGGAGACATTAGTCACCGTAGAAATAGGCTGCTCCAAAGGCAAATTTGTGCTGGCAGTTGCTGGGACAGTAGTGATCTGGGGGATGCTGGTTGTGACAATCCGGGGCGTCTCCCTTCCGTGGTCTTCAGCTGCCAAACTGACTGCGTGCGACGTGCTTTGCGTGCTGCCGGTACGGTGGACAGCGCTATCAGGAAAAGCCCCGGGTCTGCCATCTGTCAAAGGGGGCAACGGAGCTGCTGATGGGGCAAGAGTCTCGAGCCGCAGGGTTGGGCGAGTTGAGGCACTAACTCTAGGCCTAAAGAGGGAGTTCAGTTCAGCGAAGCTGCGCTGATCAGCGGATCTTTCTTCAGGTAGCGAATGTGTGGGCTCGCCCTCATCTTCGAAAGGAACAAACCGTTTAGAAATCCCACCAACGCGGCGGCAACAAAGTGAAAACACTATCAGTAGATAAAAGGAACCGCTCATCTTGACCTCACGAGACAGTCGAACAGCGAAAAACAAGGCCCCCGCGGCAGCACCGCGCCTTATGTACCCCTTGAATAGCTTCCTTTGCCGCCTCCCTTTGTGACACAACATTGTCATCATAGGCCGCAATTGGTCAGGAAACCTTCGTTAACGTTTGAAAAGTCATCAGCTGGGGAATGATGCTTCGATTCGTCCCGGCTAGTCAGCCGTTGCCAGTGTGCCGTGTCACTGCGTTGATTGACCCCATGAACCAATACGGCGAGGAAGTGTTTCAAGATGTGTCTTCAGTGTATCAGAAGGCAAGAAAGGGCACGTCAATCAAACGCGCAGGGAACTAGCAATGACGAGGCAGCCAAGCGGCTGAGCGCGCGCTGCCATTGGATCAGGCTGGAAAGGAAACGAAAGCATGCGCATGGGAGCATTTGACTAAGCAAAGGGTTAACGATGGCCGATTGGGTTAGCGTTTAGTTTAGCAAGTGTAGAGACAAGTTCGCGCTGCAGAACCCAGAGATCTTGGGTTCGATCCCCCCCCCCTGCCCGTTTCGATTTCGATGAGCATCGCCCCGGCGTGCGGTCGTGTATCACTGGTTGTACTGCACTGGCTAAATTTCTCATCTCCAGCAGAGACACAAGACGCCCATTAAGGCTGACTAACTTCCGGCTGTATACACATAGCTACAACACAATATTTATTACTGTTAAACAAACGCACGAGCTGTGCAAGGAGCAGACGAACTTGCAAATGTGTAAGGAGATGCTCACGCGCCTATTCCTACCTTTGACTTTTTTCTTAGAGCTGTTCTTATCCTCGGGGCATCGCCGACTAGATCCCACCTTTTTCTACTTTTTATTGAGGCTTTTAAGAAAAGTGCAAAATCTACCGCCATCAATTAATTTTACATTTCCGCGGCGTGCAGTGCGTAACACTGCGTATACAACATTTTTAATCTAGACGTAATCTATAAAGATGCATCTCTTTGGACCCAACCATAAATTCTGTAAATCGGCCTCTTTTTTTTTTCTTTTTTGGCACGCTTTTTTTATTGTTGCATACTTTAATTTTTTTTTTTTTTTTAGACGAGGAATTGGTACACATTTCAAAATGGAGTAAACACTTCAATTCCTGCCACTGAATGGAACGGTCTTCTCCAGAATAATAAATAAATAAATATTAAGTTACATGGCAAACTTAATGATCAAACATTATTTATTTATTATTTATTTCATAATCATCCGCGTTTTGACAGTTTCGTTAATAGCGAGTTTTAGTAGACCGTGTTTCCCCCTCCGCTACCCGGAACTCTACAGCCAAGGCCATTCTTCGTAGCGGAGGGTTAGCGGAGGGGAAAACACGGTCTACTAAAACTCCCTAAAATCGGGCTTTTCGTAGGTAGTACCTGATATGTAGTATCCAAGAGTTTCGTGTTGCTAGCGGGAGCCCGTGCCGCAACATTGAGCACATCGAGCACACGCCCGCATTCCGCAGCGTACAATCCACGTAAAGTCCCTGTTTTTTTTTCCCGTGTGTGAATGTGTGCGTTCGTGTGTGCATGTGGGGATAAGGGGAAGAAGCGCATCAAACTGTATACGATACAGGTAAAAAATAAATCGAATGAATGTCCATTGCAAGGGCTTGAAAACTTTAACAACTTATTTTTTCGCGGGGACTTTACATATTTATTACTCGCACCGCCAAATCAACAAAATACATTCACCAGCTCGCCTGCAAGCTTGGCTACTGTGCTGCCACCTCTTGCAGCGAACAAACACCAAGTATTCTTACAGTGCCTGCCCTCACTACCAGTAGATGGCACAACCTACCTTATAGTTGTTTCTTTAGAAGAGAGATGGCAGCACCATGTCCACCGGTTGGAGTAATTCTTTGATTTTGTCACGCCCACTTTCCGCTCGTCCGCCGCTCGAGGCTCGTGTTTGTGAGTCATAGTTACTTATCGCCTGTTGCAGTTTCGGCTCCGTTTCGTAGCGAAGCACATTTCGATCGCAAAGTATACTGTTAAGATGCCGATTATGGTAGGAGGAGTGTCTGAGCAAGTCAAGGATGCCGACGACACCGCGAGAGAAATCTGCGAAAAGGTAACAAAACCCGCGAAAGCACACAAAGACAACTCGTGTGTCTTGTGCTCGATGGGCGTATATGTTCGTATCGTAGGTCCGTCCGGAGGTGGAATCTCGTGCTGGCAAGACCTTTGCAGAGTTCACGCCCCTCAAATACAAGACGCAACTCGTGAACGGCGTCAATTACTTCATCAAAGTATGTATACTAACTTTGCAGTTCGGATACCGCTGAATTTCTTTTCGCGCCTTATTACACATCTGTGCGCGTATCGCTCGCTAAATGATTGCGGAGAGAAGCGGGATTGAGTTATGTCTAGCGTTTCCGCTTTCAAACTAACGCTTTATTTTTTCTATTTTCTTTACTTTCATTCTAGGTTCGCGTTGGCGCCGACCAGCACATCCATATCCGTGCGCACAAGGCTTTCAGTGGAGAGGTTACTTTCTCCGCTCACCAAGAAGACAAGAGCCTCGAAGATGAAATCGTGCACTTCCAGTGAACCTTGAAACAACGGACTGCCTACCTGGTTTTGTAACTAAACAGCGTACACCGCAAAATAAAATATTTTGATGAGAAATACAGAGCCGTTGCAGTACCCCCCCCCCCCCCCCCCCCCCCCGCCCCCACCCCAACCCACCCTTGTTTGTTTACTTCTGTTATTCACAGAACTTGTTAGCGTTCCCGGTGACTGGAACTATTTAAGCTAATTTTAGCAGGTGTAATCGTTTCTGAGACCATGAAACGGCAGAGTATATAAGTCAGAAACGAACTCGCTCGCTCAGCGAACTGGCGAAATTAAATTCCTTCCGTGTTGCGCATAAAACTGACATTGGGCCATTAAAACTGAACATCCGCACTGAAGAGTTGACATGGTGATCTGATATGTCCTGCTTTCGTTCGAAAGCACGCATCTGATCTCTGTTTTAACAGGTAATACACGACAGCTTGAGTTCGTGGACCTCATAACGTCATGCGCTGGAAACCATTTGACCCAACTGGGTACGGATCGACTTGGTACAGCACGTAAATTCTTGCCACGTGAACTCGTTCGTGACGCAAGTTGACCCAGACGGTCAGACGGAACTGTAACATGAGCAACTGAAAAACTTTTTTTTTTGTTAATTATTATTCTAGTTTGTGAACGGCAGAAATAAGGGGACAAAACGCTTGCTCAAACGTCTAAATGACTTCTCTTAAATTGTAGTACAGAGGGCCCTAGAGTTGTGAGCCAACACTTCTTCCATCAGTAGTTTTGAAACTGAAGCACACCGCACGCATGCTGTATTGTTTATCTATAAACGTCTTTAAAAATAGCTCCGAGGTAGAGGCACTTGAGGACGCGTAGCTGGTCCTGTTCTGTGAAATACTAGTACAAGACAGGAAGTTTCCTTCTCTTGTCTGGAACGCGTTTCATTTTTGTTTTGTTTTTAGTTGGGTAATCTTGCTGCAATGTTAAGAAGTTTGCTATCAGGTCGGTACAGCAGGTCTTAATTGATAAATCGATTAAGGCATGTCGAACCTGTCATTGTTACCAATCCAATTCCACATCTATGCAACGGGCACAGGATCAGTGAAATTGTTTCGTAGTTCTAAACAGATGTGGGAGGAGCAGAAAAATAACGTCCTGTGGCCGGAAAAAAATTAACCAAGTTCTTTCTTTCTTTTTTTTTTTTTTTTTTTGTAGTAGTACACAAGGTGTGTGTTGGTGTCTGTGCTGGATAACATCGACAGTAGCAAGAATGTCTGTGCCAGGCCCACCACCTTGCGGTGGTTCGAACAAAGCGCAAAGCAACTGCAAGGTCAAATTCTTCCCAACCCAAGATAAGCCGGCTCTACGACACACTTGCGGAGTTAAGATCCCAAACACAGAGAAGATGCTGATAATATCGTGTCCTTTTATCGATATGGGCTCTGTGCAGAGCCCATGAAAGTTAACAGAATGAGGAAAAACTCTGATATGTAACACATATTTTTCGTAGTTCACTTGGCAAACCCTGGGAAATATATATATAATCCAAGTTTATCAAACATATATATGCATAGGAAAAAATGATGCCATCCATAGTATCGCCAGAGGGCACTTGGGCTCCGTGCAGATAAGATCATGCACGCAAGTCCGGACGTATTTTCTTTTTTGTTATGTTTTTACATGCTATTCCTCAACATGCGTAAGAAACGTAATTAAAAATATGTTGTGAAGAGCGTAATTTACTAAGAGAACAAAATTTTTTTAATGCGCAAGAACGGCATATTTGATTTTCGAAGTTTATGTCATGTTTGGTGACACCTACTGCGCAAAATACAAATATCAGAAATCGCAAATAACTTGTACTTACGATAGTCCATGGGAACTATCGATGCAAATATTTACAGTATTGTGGAGATTATATATCTCGCGTCAAAAATGCGCAAACTTGACTCCTTTGTTTTGTCACTAGATTTCTGAGCCGTTGTCTAAAGAAATTGAACAGCTACAACATTGAACTTTATGTCACATATTCTTTTTGAAACGTTCTTTCGAATTGTATATAAAACATTGCTTTCCCTGAAAAAAAAAAAAAAAAAAACTATATATATATATATATATATATATATATATATATATATATATATATATATATATATATATATATATATATATATATATATATATATATATACGGCTCTAAACTTGCCTTGAAGAACAAAGCTCAGAAATTTCAAGAAACAACTAAAAAAATACTTTCGATTGTTTTAATTCACGGTGATAGTTCCCTACTCTATTATAGTGTTTATTCACAAAAAAAAAAAATGTTGCATTGTTTTGTTTCCTTTAAAGTTACGGCGCTGCGAAGTGTACCTTGCACGCCGGCATTTTTGCCCAAAGCCAGATACGAGATGATCTTTTGATTCCAGCAGACATCATTTTATGCCGCATTTGACTATTGGGCTCAAGTTCAGGTATTCTGCTAATCAAAATAATACACAAGTGCTAGGAACTTTAGCTGAAATTTTCCCACAAACACGGGACGAAAACTTGTAATCGCTACTACAACAAATTATATGCGAATATTTATATTTTATTTATTTTATTTATTAGTACCTTGAAGTCCCTAAAATCTATATATTCGCGATGAAGTGGAAATGTTTGTGCCACCAAGCTTGTTGCACCGCTATCACGACGGTTCTACGTCCGGCTGACCAAAGTAAACTTGTGACTTCACTGGCAGACTTTAATTTATTCTCGTAAAAAAAAACACCAAAAAACACATTAAATTGAAGAAAAAAAAAAAATAGCCAAGATATTGAGCGCACCAGTTGCCCATGTTGGCGGAAGGGCGTCTTGAGAAGCCTAGCTACGTTGTCCCTATTCATACCAGACTCACGATTTCTGCGAAGCACTTACCCGTGCTGCAACAATACTAACGAGTTCGAGAAAATCGGTCAACTCCAAATGTGGCTAAAAACAGGAAATGCACGAACTGGAGGATTTTACCCCATCCTCTTCAAAGAATTGACATCCAGATCTTGCACTGCGAAAATTTCTCTTCTTTGCTATCTTATTGTTGTGTTTACTAAGATAGCACAAAACACTCTACAGACGCTGTAAGCCGCTGCCATGGCTGAAGACGTTCTGTCAAAACGCAACTACACGGGCCCTTAGAATGTCTGCAAGTTTATGACAGCGCGCGCGCGTGTGTGTTGCCTTGTCTTTCGATCACAATAGGGAGCCTTCATGTGCACTTTGCTAGGGTGGTGCCACCCTTTGTAATGCCACTCGCCGACAAACCAGCAGCCATTTTGTTCCTCGGCGATAATCCGTGGGGCTTATAACCCTCCCGCAAACAAGCACCTTATCTCACAAGTTCGGAGCAGCGTTGTGGAACCCACGGAGGGAGGATTAGCATTTTCCTCCTCAGATCGGAGGACCGATGGACACAAAGGCCACTTTCCGGCGCACGGGGAAACAATAAGAGGAACAAAATGGCGGTGGAAGAGGGTGCGGGAAAGGGAAACAGGCAGTTGGCATCACTCAATGAGGTTAAAAGTACTAGGAGGGGGCACGTTGCAATATTGGTGAAGCCTAGTCATAAAAAGTTTAATGATTTTGTGCCTAGCGTGACCACAGATCTGTCTGGCGATTGGTGCGCATGACATGTCACGTGCGAGATGGATGGTTGATTGTAGGAGGATCCCTTGCAGGCTTGCGCGCGCTCCGTCTGGTAGGTTTTATCAGATCGAAGGCTAGACGAAGGCTAGCTACGGTCACGTGATGTGGTGAGAGTAAGGAGAAACATGAGAAAGAGGCGAGGCGTCAAGGGAGCATGCCTTGTGGAGGCTACGCGGCTGACCGTCATGCCTGTCCTACCCTTCTATTCTCCATGGCATCACTCCACTCTATGCGAAGCGCACAAGAAGGTACCCTAGATCACAAGACTCCGCGTCCTCCCAAAAGCATTGCAGAAGAGGGAAAGAAGGATTGTTGAAAATCCTCTCGCCCCAGCCCCAGCTCCAATTTCGCCCTCTTCCACTCTTAACTTGACGGCGGGGGACTCCTTTTGTTGCTGCATCTTCGGGCCGGATCAGAATGAGAGGCTCTGGGCCGGATTAGGGTGCCTTCATGTCCCGCTTAAAGCGAACATGTAGGCACTCTAGGCCGGATAGGCCCGTAGCTTATCCCGGCTCACCCAGCCCCTGGATGCAGCAGCAAAAAAAGTCCCCCCGCCCTCAAGTTAAAGGGGTCATGAAACGATTTTTCAACTTTTTCGTTTTTAGCTTTCCCCCTCAACTCACAAATCGCGCACTGTACTGCTCGTGCATGCAGCGTCTATGAGCAGTGCCGTAACTGAGCTAATCTAATAACGTTGGTTCGTGTATATCATTCGAAAGAACGTTTTCGCTCAGTAAGTTTCTAATTGGAACCATGTCTATTCACTAATTAAAAAGTTAATTAACGAATTTTAATTAATTAGCCGACTTATCGCAAAGATTAGCCACCCCACATAATGTCCCCCTGGCCGTATAACTCGCCTGCACAAACCACATAAGTGTAACTTTCACGGCTTTTTTGAAACAAATCTGTAAAGCTTAAAAAAAAACAAAAAAACATCTCTATATATGCCGTTCTAAGTAATATATGGTTGCCATGTATTTCTTGTTTCTTATATGTAGTTTTGTTGCTCGTATGTACCCCACACCTGCAGGGGCCTGTTCAAGGCCTGCAGTATGTGTAAATAAAAAAAAATATATATATATATATATATTTTTTCTTTTTAATTTTTTGTTTTGCAATATCTTTTTGATTACGTACAGTCTCCGGCAATATGAAAGACCCACTGGGAGCGCGTGGCCGAGGCGGTGGCTGGCGGGGGCGCTGCGAGCGCTCCGGGCAGTTCCATTCTGCTTCGAGGAAAGGACGCTCACTCGGGCTCAGCTGAAGCGAAACGCGCTTATCAGATTGTGCTGAGCCCCGAGTGAGCGTCCTCCCCTCGAAGCAGAATGGAATTGCCCGGAGCGCTCGCAGCGCCCCCGCCAGCCACCGCCTCGGCCACGCGCTCCCAGTGGGTCTTTCATATTGCCGGAGAGTGTACCTTGCACATGTTGAGGAGCAACAACAAAAAAAAAAAAAATGAGACGTTTACAATTTTCTGCAATGCCGAATTAGAGCGCAGCTCTTGAGGAAGAGGGGATGGTCACAGTGACGTCACGTAACACGTGGTCATGTGTGACGTCACGAGGGTAAATTTTTTCTAAATTCAATGCGAAAATTTCCCGGCTAAATTTAGCGGAAAAATTTCCCGCCAAATTTAGCGGGAAAATATTAACCTCTTGACGTCACACGTGACGTCATAATGGGAAACGTCCCAAAATGCAACGCGCAATTACGCAGACGGCGACGGCGTCGCTGCCTTAAGCCAGAAACAAGCACCTACGAGCTGCACTCCAAAACCAAAATACTCCTGGACTCGCGTGCATGACTTTATCAGAACAGAGCCACCAGCCACTTATCCAGTCATATCTTTATTACATTCAGAAAACAAATTAGCAAAAACAACGAACAAAACTACTAAAAAGAACGTAGCATACACTGTAGAAGGCAAGAACTTGTTAGCACATTATTTATTCATTATCCTTTAACTAATGAATGTGAAAAGCAAATTTTCACCAGATATACAGGTCTACAGTGCAATGACGGGCATAAAAACAAAGCAGTTTGAATGCCTAGTATTTACACACAGAAGCACAAAAAATGAGTGGAATGTGCTAAAGCAGAAAAATTAACAGTAGTCAAGCAACGTACAACCAGAGCAAAAATATGAAGTTTGTTCTGTAATATGCTGTAGGTGGTCGTATTAGTATCAATCCAGTGACACAGCTCAATGAAAGCTGCCCTTAGAATGTCTGAAAGTTTCACATACTAAAAGTACAAATACTTTAAAGATGCTGTGATTACCTATTGTTCAAGGAGTTTCTCAAAATAATAAAATGTCTGACAGTGGTCCATACTCCTGCCATGGCAGTAAAAGTGTAGCAGATGTTCAGCATTCCCGAAGTATAAATTCACAGCCTTATCACCTTGGACAGACTGTTATAGAAAAAGTATAATTGACATTATAATCAGTTAAATTAACAAAGCGTGCACACAAATAGGTACCGCACACAATGAGATATGCTTCAACTAAGAAAACCATGGAAGTGATAAGCACCTACGTAGACGCCAGCCCCCCATAGAAAACCAGCAATCAGTAATTTCGAAGCCTTACAACTTTACATCAATCTCCAAGACTCGCACTTCGTTAGCATGCCAGGCCAGTCGTGGTACTTATAAACACACCCCATCCGAAGTGACCTTCCACAGAGCAGAAACACCGAAAACACAGGCAAATTTGGTACTGCTACTTCTCACCTACAGAACATTAGTTTATTCTCGTTCTGCAAAAACATGAGGTGCAAGCCACTTTTCATAAAGGGGGCACCTGCGGGTTACCGAAAGCCAGATATGGGCGCAGAGCCAGCAGGGCAGACGTATTCTAGAACACTGCAGGCCCACCGCAGCAGAGCGCTACAAACATCAGTTCTTAGGCTTACACACTCGATGGACCAACTGAATGTCAGTTTATTTCGAGAATGGCCCCTCTGGCAACATGCATCACCAAACAGAAGAAGCAAGCCACGATTTCAAAAGAGAATTACTGGTACCCCTGGGGATAATTGGGGGCGGGACGTGGGTAGGAGGTTGGCAGAGCGCCACCCCTCGCATAGGGATTGCCCGGCCCGGCGTTGACGGGGGACGGGCTTGGGCTCGGCCCATAGGGCCCCGCCTGGGACGAGGGCACCTGGTGGGGAGGGGGGTAGCCCTGGTAGCCCTGGGGGGCAGGGGGCGCCCCGTAGGGTCCTTGGCCGGCCTGCGGGGCCTGCGATGGCTGGGCGCCAGGCATGGGCGCTCCACCGGCCGGAAAGCCGGGTCCGTGGCTACTGCGTAGAAAAATGCGGGGAAACATTTTATAGCAGTAACTAGTCATCCTGCCTGGTTATTTGGGTACCTGCAGTGTTTCGAATAGCATCACCTGAGGTGAATAGGGAACAAACACTGGCACAAACAAATGCAGTCAATTTATTCTGCTTGACTGTACTCAAGAGCAATTTAATCTAGCAGTAAAGAAGAAATGAGTGCAAGAGCTTCGGCAACCATAGCTTAAGGCATTGCAGCTCCGGCAGTTATCCCTGCGTATTTCTACAAAAAAAAAAAAAAATTATATACTATATACATAACAAAAATAGGAAAAGGTAGACTATCATCTTGGGAGCAGCAGTGCTGCCAAGTCGACAAGGCTGAAAGAATTACAGTGGATACAAGGATACTAAAAACGGTTAATGACATACTGGAATTTTGGCTTACCACTAAAAAACTCGATGGAAAACAGACTCGTTGCATTTTGAAGCATGATCCTTAAAGGGACAGTGACAGGGTATTTATGCTCATCAAGGTTTTTATTTGAACATTACCGACAAGAGCCCAACTACCCAGAACACAATTTGTGGATCGAAATTTGTATTCTTTCTGCCCGAAAACCGCCGGTCGAGAATCGGCCGGTTTCAGGCGCACTCACTTTCTTTTCTACGGTCACGTGACGTTCAAACTGATGCATATCAAATATATTCAAAGTCGTGAGTCATCTAAGGTACACATTCAATATTAAAAATAGAAAAGAATATAAACCCCATTTTTTGTGGCTTCCAGGAAGCTGCAAATCTGTTGACCAAAAAAAGCTCGAGGTACACTTGAGAATTTCTTACGAGTTGTGAATGCGAAAGCATGCAAGCCGCTCGTCCGCTCCCTTTGTCGTCTGCTCGTCCGCTCCCTTTGTCGTCTGCTGCGTACTAGCGCGCATGCGCTTCGGGATCTCGGAGGCCATGGCGCAGCGGCCAATGGGAGGCCTGTCGACGCGTGCCAGCCAATGGAACCGAAGGCGAATTGCTCCTATTGGGATCGCAGAAACCAGGAGCCGTTTTCACGCTTCAAACTGATGACGTCAGCTCGCTCCATGAGACAGTTAATGCTTTCGCATTAAAAAAATTGTTGGACAAATCACAGAAAGCATCGTAGATGTGCATGTCATTCTCAATATGGCGACGCACCGCGGACTGGACGACGTGATGGCGGTGCACGACGGACATGGGACTGCTTCTTCGGAACTGTCGTTCGCGGTACCGGCCAACCGATCTTCAAGTGCAGAACGTCGAGCAGAAGGGATACAAGTGCAAAGCAATCACACGACAAATGGTGCAAGCAAATTTGTCGCCGTCATCTGCTTCACAAACCGGAGAAAGAAAATGCAGTCGGATGTAGCCACGTGATTTCCGGCCATGAGCTTCCATGCTTGTGTTTCGGCTTATTAAAAATATATGTGACTCGGAAGCAAAATTTTTATTGGGTAGTCTCCTGATGCCATAATATATTGGGGGGTGTTGTTAAAGAGACTGGCTGCCTTTCCCATACCTGCCAAGTGCAGAGAAGCCAAATCCGGGAGAATTTCTAAGCCAGGCGGGGGGGGGGGGAGTTGCGGTTTTTAAAAATAAATATTAATAACAAATTTCCATCAAGGCAATGTCATTAGATTTATATTGCACTGCTCATGCTAGCGACATACAGCTGGGCCTCGCTATCATTGCAGCCGTTTGTTGCAACAGCAGAGACTCCTTGTTTAAGCAATTTGAGTTCTCCAGGGGATTTTTCTGCCAATCGTACAACCATACAAATTGGTCAAAATTCGGGAGTCTCCTGGGTAGTACGGGAGACTTGGCAGGTATGCTTTCCCATTTAACATTCGATAGCAGTCTTTTCCGAGGTGACCAGCAAAACTGGGTGTGAGCCCAGTTTTGCTGGTCTATACTTCACAATACAAATAATAACAGGCAAGCTTTAGAACTTTCAAGAGGACTCTTTTGCATTCTGCCTTGCCACGCAAAAGTGTTGGCACTCCAAACACAGCTTTTGAAACTTTTAGTTCACTTAAAAATGCTGCCATTGTCCTGAAGAATGATGACTGCACTGTTGTATACCCATCTGCATGTCCGAACATTTTTCAGCTGGAAGGTCTTTGAACTGGAGGCAACTGAACTGGGCCTGAATTCATCCAGTGCAAAGTCGATATATTGCTCCTTAGAAACGGGCATGAGAACTGGGGAGTGGTTAATGAGGTACCTGACATCAGCAAACATAGCAGTATCATGGTGCAAAACCTTGCCACTTATGCATTCATTCAAAAATTACACTTCAGGGCATATTTTAAGACAATTTAATTGCCCACCATACGAAAGGAATTTTCCGATTACCGTAATGTAAAAGAGTCACGTACATTCTTGAGCGATTTGCAATTAAAAAGGTCATTGCCATCCTTCTGGTTGCCAGAGGGCCTGTAGTGAAGTCCACAAATCCCTTTGATCACAGATCAAATAAAATCAAAGCTTTATTTCCAGAAACACTGGAAGGAGTCCCAGACAAAAAGCTGTTGAGACAGTTTGACTGGGTCTGGGACCCTTCGTACATTGGCAGCAGCTTGGTAGTGCAACACACCACTAGCGTAATATTTGATGAAACAAAAAAATTAATTAAAAAATTAAAAATCAGAACTCTGCAAACATTATAACACTAAGTTAGGGAACAATGAAGATATAAGAGCGCAAGTCTCGTTTGCTAATCGTGTATATGTTTATGTTGTTTGTGAGGCATTTATTTAAAACAAGTGGTACATTATAATGTGAAGTTCGTAAGTTGTAGTTTGTGCGGGAACAAGGGAAGACCCATGCTTCTCTGAGGCGTATGTTGACATAACTGCTATGCCTTACAAGCTCAGAAATATGAATAAGAAATCAATGAATAGTGTGGAGGAGAAACGAATGGAATAAAGCCAACGATACTCATACATGCGTTCAACCGGAATCATTTGATATTTAAAAAATAAAAGTTCTGTGTGGTCTGTGTAGGAAACATCAGCAATATATCGTATTATTCTCTTTTGTAGTAATAGTATGTTTTTAAGGTTTGTTTTTGTTGTAGTAGCCCATACAAGGTGACAATAAGTTAAGTGAGATTGAAATAATGCGTAATAAATTTTAAGTTTAATGTTGAGTGGTAAAACATTGCGGCAACGACAAACAATATCAACAATCTGAGAGAGTTTAGCTATCAAATAATTTACATGACAATCCCACCGTCATATTCTCTGAAAAAAAAATATGCCTAAAGTTTTATGCTGGCTGACTAGTTCGATTGATGACATACCTAGCAAGAGAGTGTAATTTATTGAAATGGGTTTATTTTTCGATCTGAATAAGATTGCTTTAAACTTCATTGTATTTACCTTGGTTTGACAAACAGCAACAACTCGCAAGCAAGCTGTCTAGAACTTCCTCAAGCAGATGAACTTGAGGGACTCGGGGTGCACAAAGTTGCTTGCCTTTTTAACTCTGGCTTGGCCAACTGCAATGAGTCATGGTTTTTCTTAAGTGGAATTCAATGGGCAGTGCAGCTGTGGCATTGTTTTTTACTTTGTGGATGTCTGTTAGAAAACATGTCAAGATTTTGTCGACAAGATAAAAGGCAAAAAATTTATTTGATTTTTCAGTGCATTGTTAACATAAAATAAATAACTTTTTTGAAACTTTGTTTTCACAGTTGCACTCTCCAGGCATTCCTGCTATGCATCTAGTGAAGGAAAATGTAGGGTATCGCACAATTTTTCTAACGATAGTTTTCCTAAACAATGTCAATGTGTTCCTGATAGAAACAACTATACTTTCTCTTATAATTCATGTACACCGATGAAACTTTAAACTGCATTCTGCCTCCAAACTGCCGACATATGCTGTAAATTTCATTCATATTAAGCCGAAGGTTCAAAAGTTGACCTTTTTGGGTAGTGTCCTCCCATAAACAGTTGAGGGTCAGAAAGTCCCCAAAACTTAAAACGGTAAAAAACTTGACACGCCAAAATAGTCTTCCCGGCCGAAAATTTATCTTGCTTCTTTCGTATCCCCCTCCTATTTCCCCTTCTCAATTCTTTACGTTTTTCTCGCATGCTAAGCGTCTACACGGCCTACGACCCCCAAAAAGGGCTGTTGCTATCGCTTGACTCTGACAATGTTACGACTCTGTCTTTCTGTTTTGATGGACGATTTTCAGGCTATATTGTGACGGGCTCACGAGTTTCATTTCGAGAAGGACCATACTTCGTTCATCCCTAAGCTGACAGTACGCCACAAGCTGCATGCTCGTAGAACCAGTCCTATGCCTAGTTTTAGCCATTTGATTATGCTCCTGCCTATACGCACGAACAGGGAGAGGAGTCAAGTGACGAAAGGGCAGCTGATAATTGATTTATGATGGCGATGTGGGGTAGCTGGTTCATACAGACAATTGTGAAAACAGTGCGCAAAAAACAGGGACGAAGTAGAAGTGAACACAGGACAGCGCTTGTCCTGTGTTCACTTCTACTTCGTCCCTGTTTCTTGAACAATGTTTTCCCTTTTGTTGATTGGTTCAGCGACCGTGTAATTCCCACTGCACCGTCAGCTCAGGGGTAAACGGAGTTCTTTCTGATCTTATAGGGCTGGAGACACTCAGTTGCTGGTTGAGTATTCAGATTTTTTTCATTAAGTACCAAGCCAAGTTTCAGCGGCACAGTGTATGTTTAAGAGCATACATACGTCACCGACAAATGACAATGACATGCATGTCATAGTAAGCCATTGTTTTGCTTATCGAGGGGTTGTGTAAGAACACCGAGGTGTTTAGGACGGGCACAGCAGAGTTTTCATGCCAATGGTATTTTGTGAATCATCTTCATTTTCAGTGCTTGCTGTTTTTAAAAAAAGGTAGAAGTAGCAATATGACGCATGAGCAAAGGCTTCGGTAGAATATCAGATATCGCTATCAGAGTCATCGGAACAATCTACTAAAACTCTATCAC